GATTTTCGAAGAGAGGCATGCAAATCGTGACCTTTGACCATTCGCCACGGTCAGGCGCTTGACCTGAGAGTGCCAAAAAGTGGCTCCAAGGCCCTCTCTTGGGGTCCTCTACAATAATTATAAGCCAGAATTTGATTCTAGGGGGGTCGATTTTCATCTTCCCTTAGTACCTTAAGACGGTTGGCTTCACAGTGAACGTAGAGGTTGGGGGAGCATTGGGAAACCGAGTCCGGTATGCAATTACGTCACTCTCTTACTCATCCTCATTCGCTGACAACAAGCTCCGATAAGGTGCCACATCCACTCAACCTGCGTGCGATACACGAATGATAGTCCGAGGGTCTTTCACTCTCCTTTCAGGGAGTGTGAGCGTCAGTTATCCGCTTCGATCTGGGTTTCAAGAGTGATTGAGAGTGAAGTGCTTCAGGTCGCGGCACCTTAATAAATATTCAGGTGGAATGAGACACTTGAGGCAGTGCGAGACAGCTGATAATTTTTAAATCTGTCAGAAGCTTTAAAAAATGACAGGTAGTTGATAAGAATGCCCTGGAAAATTTAGTAATATAGGCGCAGTCATCAGGCACTCTATAATTTGAGAGTGTGAGGTTCCCTATTTATTTAATCAGCACATATTTATTGATATAGTTTTCCTTTGACACCTATGGAGGATTATAAAACAGTATTTTCATTAAATCATAAAACTAAATGGTGTTTGCCATGTATAAACATGTAAGAAATCTGTGCAATATTTGCAGATGTTTGCATGTTAGAAATTTCACGGCACCTCCTTCTGATATTTCGTTAGGGAAGTCCAAGAAGCAGAACGGACATTTTGTCAGAAAATTCTACAACTTGGCACAATGTGCCAAAACCTTTATTTATTAATTCTATCAATAAGTATATAATATATGATCATCTACTCCAACCCAAAAGATTTCAAAATGAAAATTAAAAAAATACATTTCACCTATAAAGAAGTTGAAATCCTTGGGTGGGCAGGTGGCAGTGGAACTTGCCTCAAGGTCAATAACATCTCATCTGATGGGAATAGAGAAGGATGGCAATTGACGTTTCACTTCTCCCTTAGTGCAGGAGTAGGCTTTTTCTACATCGATTTTCATCCACAATATCTGTAACAGTTTCTGAGCCCTGGTATGTATAAAGGGTTAAAGGGAGATGGTAAGTGCGTTCTTGCTGTTGGCTGCAGTCCTGGTGGCTTTCATCATTCAGGACTTCATTACCAAGTTCCTGCGATGGAGGAAAATGCCCCCTGGTAAGTTAACCCTTTCAATGGCCTACCCGAGGGCGGGGCACTCATACATGTACTATTTTTGCCTTGCCCGAAGTCAACTCGTTTGTTGTAGGGAACAGCGCATTGCAGTGGCTCGGCCGACTTCAGTGTGGGAAAAGCACTAGTTGTGATCTTTTTGAGTGGTATTGCCATCTATAGACATATTAGACAACCAGAGGTCGTACTGCTATGGGTTGGCAGAAATTAATGGGCGGGATATAATTTGGCGCGAAAAGTTAGAAGTGGGCATATATTTTAGGCTGTTCAAATTTAGCAACGTCTTCTATCGCGATTTCAGTTCTAATTCTGAGAAACTGCTGTTGCTTGCATATATATTAATATATTGAATTGATACGTCATCGAACAGCTGAATAAACAAACCAAAATAATAACAGCGATACAGCAAATGAGTCAAAGTCTTACATAAGGCAAAACATGAGGATGGAAAATTGATGCAATTCTAAAACCATTACATGAATCAAATGACGCTGAAAAGCTAGATTCAATATGTTCACAAATTAAATATGTCTAATTTCCAGTCAACAGCATTGCCTTTAAATCCATTGCAGGACCATGGGGTATACCTATCTTGGGCTACATTCCGTTCCTATTCAAGGAACCACCTTATTTGGTCTTCGAGCGATTGTGGGAAAAACACGGAGATATAATCAGCGTGACCTTGGCATCGAAGGAACAAGTCGTGCTTAACAACTGGGAACTCATAAGAGATGCATTCTCTCGACCCGAATTCACAGATCGGCCGGACATGGTCCTCATTCGCCTGGCATCCTCTGGTCATAATGGTCGATAACTTAGTTGCTCATATACCTATAATAAGTATCATCAAAGTCTATTCCTGTAACTGTGATTCAATAGAGTACGAGAGACTGACATTAAATAAACTTTGGAAACAGGAATCGTGACGGGGAACGGATCGCTTTGGCAGGACAATCGACGCTTCACGATGAGGACTTTGAGAGATTTCGGGTTCGGTAAGACAACCTTAGATGGGATCATAAGCAACGAAGCCTTGGCACTCTGTGATGTTTTCAAGAAGAAGGCCAAGGACCCATTCGGTCTGCATTATTCAGTCAACGTCGCCGTGCTGAACGTCTTATGGAAGATGACTGCTGGTCAGTTTCTATGCCTTCCTCTTCATTCGGTGGCGTCTCTTCAAAAGTTGAAGACACAACAAACTTTGTTGCATCCGTAGGCGAGCAGTATGCTTACGAAGATGCGCGAATGGCCAATTTCATTGAGTTGTTGAATTTGACCTTGGAAGATACTCAGTCTTTGGGCCTAATCCAATTCGTCCCTATTTTGAAATACTTGTATCCAACTGCCCTTCAAGCCTACCGACGTGTCAAGAACCGAATCGAACGCATCACCGATGACTTCAAGGTGGACCCCAAAAATGATCACATGATCTTGTTGGAATATCCGTAATCATGACTACCACGGCCGTACATGATATTAATTTTGCAGGGAAAGATTGATGAGCACAAGAAGAACTTCGATCCAGATAACATCCGAGACTACATCGATGCCTATCTTCAGGAGATGAAAGCGCAGCAAAACCGAGGAGAAGAAAATACGAATTTTTCAGGTGATGATCATCGCATGATGTGAATTTTACTCTTAAAACAAAGGACTAAAAGATGTTTGGAAACTTACTCCAGATCTGCAGCTGAGAGTGAACATCCAAAATCTCTTCCTCATTGGCTGCGAGACCACAGCCAATACGATTCGTTGGGCCATTTTGTTTCTTCTACGGAACTTAAAAGTGCAGGAATGGATTCAGGCGGAAGTGGATAATGTGATCGGAAGAGAGAGACTTCCATCACTTGCGGACAGGGATCGAATGCCTTACACCGAAGCCTTCATCATGGAGGTTCAACGCCATGCCAATGTTGCCCCCATGGGTTTACCGCACTGCACGAATCAAGACGTGGAATTCGCGGGATACACGATCCCCAAGGTACGTTTTCTCCCATGTTTGAATTTCATGTTTAGACCAAAATTTCCTTGTATTTGTTTCGTCATTCAAGGGTACCATTGTTATGGGGAACCTGTGGGCTTGCCATTTCGACCCAAAATATTGGCCTGATCCCTTCAAATTCGATCCGACTCGGTTTTTAGAAAGTGATGGGACTCTCAAGACCAAGAATTCCAGCTTCCTTCCTTTTTCTCTTGGTGAGTTATGTTTCAATGTGTATTTTGTAAATGAAACGATTAAATAAGTAATTGACAGTTCTTGTCAGCCTTAGTCAGGCCGCTCAGAGCAAAGCACAGACGACGCGCATTGAGATGGTGGTTCGAGGCAGCGGGGTGAGAGAGGTTGATTGGCAGAAAAATCGAAGGTGGTTGTGGGAGATAGGCCAAGGGTTGTACAAGTAGATTCTGGAGTGATTCGGCGTGCACTTGCGTCAGTCAATTCCTTCGAGAGAGATATCCTCGAACTCTTGCGCTGAACCGGAATGGAAGGTAGCCTCCAATCATTAGGGGGGAGCATCCAGTAGGATTCCCTGCTACTTCCAGCGCAAGAGAAGCGGAAAGGAGAGAAAAAGCGCAGGAATAGAGTGTAGAGGATATTTACTCGAAACAAGGTCGCTCTTCTATTAATATATACCCCCGCATGAATCGCTGTCGCAGCCCAGAGAAGCTCTCAATGATTCCTCTTGACCAATTCAGCTAGTAAACTCACCATTACTTCCGCGAAGCATGTAGCCGGATGAAGCTTCATTCGCAAATTGGACCAGAGTAACCAATACAATTGAAGAATTTCGTGGTGGTCAGGAAACATTTAATTTTACGGCTTTGTCAGGCGAACTCGCTTCACTTCAGCATTTAGTAACTTGTCAAATAAATGCCATTAACATTATGAGCACTACATATCGTTACATATAGAGACACTTCTGCCCGTCCTTTCCACTATCATGCATATTGGGCACAAATTTATTTGACACCTTGTTTAGGAGCTGTTGCCTCTATATTCTGTCAGATGTGGACCTGTAAGCCATTTCATATTCCCATGAAAGGATTCATTTCTTTTACGTACAACTCATGTAAGTTGTGCCTTCTTAAACTGAAACTTTAATGATAAGGACAAGGCGTTCTTTTTTGCCGCAGGGAAGCGTCAATGCCTGGGTGAAGCGCTGGCAAAGATGGAACTCTTCATTTTCCTCACAATATTTATGCAGAGATTCAGCTTCCGTCTACCAGAGGGTGCCACGATGCCATCTACAGAACCCATCTTCAGTGCCATCGTTAACCGTCCGAAACCCTTCAAGATTGTCGCCGAAATAAGAACCTGAACTCAGAAGAAAGTGAGGGCATATTTATTGCCTTCTAAAAGCAATTAATAACATGAAATTAAATTTATGAGTAGCGCGAATACTTCTTGGTACATTTAACGCACCCTACTGGAGAGACTCACCAATATTCCTTTGGAGAGAAAAAGGTCCAATGCTGATCCCAAGTCAGAACATTCCGGCAACATTCGGAAGACCAAAAGTGTCATCTGCTCGAAGTGGCTTCCAAATTAGTGAAACTGACATACATTTACATTGCAAAAAGATTCGAGTTTTGAGATTCAAGAGAAGTTACCCATAAAAGTGAAAATGATATCTAGTCTGGTGAAGTGAGCGAGTGCCATAAGGCGAAAATTTTGAAATTATTAAACAAACATCAATATTTCATATTTAAAACTTTCCACATTTACGCAAGAGATGGGCTGAATCTTCGTCAGGCTTTATTCGTCTCGAGATGGTCATCAGGATCTGAAAGAATGAAGCAGAGTTACAATTATGTGTAGAAATGATGAAAGTTTGTCTTTGCGTTAGTGAAATAACCGCGATTTAATTTAAATCAAGCAATAAATATATTAGCACCTCCTGATTAGTGATGAATCATATATAAAAAGGCAGGTTTTGGTAAACTTTCGAAAGGCCATGACATTTAGACCTTTCAACGGATAATGAAAGCATGAAATATGATGGTTCTGGGCTAAACTCAAGAAATGGAACAAATGAAAAAGAATATTGAGGGAATGCGGTGTATCTCTTTGTGCACTTGATGAGGTCTGAGCCCTTCAGCTTTTCCGGCAGAACATTAGCCCTTGAACGCTACGCCGTACGCATTTAAGCGAATGTCATGGCGGGAAAATGACATCCCAAGGAGTGACGTGCAGGGCACGCAAGGCGCAGTGTTTGCTTCAGTGATTTGTTTCACAAGTTTTCAGCAAGGTTTCCTCCCGCAGCATGGTGTTGACGTACGCTATACGACACTCCACGTGGAAAGGGTTAAGATTAAAGTACTTCCCTTAATCGCCCGTTAAACATTGCTCTTTATTTATCTTGGCAAAGAAGACAAGGATCTTCGTGATCCACCTCTCGACTTCACATCATAGCCTGGTTGTCCTTAGACATTTTTAGCCTGTCAAGATATGCAGCAAGAAAATGTAAGTTTCCAAAGCGCTATCAATCACAATCTTAGGTTTTGGTTGCCGCATTTGTTGCGATCGTACCCCNAGATATGCAGCAAGAAAATGTAAGTTTCCAAAGCGCTATCAATCACAATCTTAGGTTTTGGTTGCCGCATTTGTTGCGATCGTACCCCCATGTATATGGCGACAACAGGTTCCCCATCGAAGGAAAATATGTTATGAATCAAATTCCACATATGCCTCTACCTCCCTATGCCCATGAGCCATGTACGCGCTTGCATACCGCTCTAATGCCCTGAGGCCTGTCGTCCTTCGTGAAGACTGGATCGCATGTGACGCATATTTCTATTAGTTACAATTCTTGCTCCTTGCTGTTGAGAGGGTTGGACTTCGGAAGGCCCCCATCGATTCGGCATCTAGTTTCAGACCTACTTAAATAATTGCTGTATCCATGACAGGACACATTTTTAGAAAATCGGTCAGATAGGTCCCTAAAAGAGAATGGTGGACACAAAAATGTCCAAGGCGTTCAATTGAATTCTCTCTCATGTCGGCATAATGTAGTTTCCATGTGTCATTAGCCTATAGTCCATAAAGTTACTTCCCAATTTCAAAAGGCCCTATCTCCATTACGGAGCGGCCTAGAAACTTCATATGAAAACTTCATTTTATGATAGGCAAGATTCTAAAGGTCACAAAAAGTTTCTGGATATCACCACCAGGGCAGCGCTGTACCGGTCAAACTCACGGTCCAAAGTCGGCACATATACAAATATCCGCGTGGATGGCACGATCGAACCTACATGTATAGGATGTGGCCACCCCCTGCCACTACTACCGCCTCCAACCATGTAATGAAGTGGTAGACGACGTAATCAAACGACAGGGTCAGAATATGGCGCAGCATGGCGCCGCTATGCGTTCCTTGAGCTCCACTAAGTTCGCAGGACGGTCACTGGAAACCCCACAGCCAGAATTCAGGAAACTCCACAGCATGAAGTCCGCAGGTAGAATATCCGGTGACCTTGGCGACATTCATTCGACCACCACTAACCGCTTTTCATTCCTACCTCAACCCCGTGAACCCACAAATATGAAAAATAAATCGTAAAAAAGAAGCAGAAGCAGTCATTTTTCACAACGAAATGGTGCATCACCAACATTAGAAAGGGCAAGTACCTCGCTCTACGAGACAATTTGTCTGTATCAGGTCTATATATTTATTTTGGTTTGGCTATCTCCTCCGAAAACAGTCCAGGAGGAGCTACCCAGGTGGGGGGTAGGTGGATGGGAGAAGAAGAAACATATATATCTGGATGAAATTCGCATCATCAAAAAGGAGATTCTGTGATCTCCCTAACCCTGTAGAGATGGAGCTCCAAATTTGCAAGAGTAATTCTGTATTAAGAGGGGAAGAAGCATACTCATTTTCGCTTTCCAGAAACTCTGAAAGAGGAATAAGAGAAAGTGGAATTTAGCAACGGGAAGGGATTGAAGAATGGATATTGAGGAACAGAAAGCTGTTACACATTTCTCGGATTGAATTGGGACAACCCCCCCCCCCCCCAATGGAGCGCTTCCATTGATTCCAGGTAGTGACATCTTCTACATAGGTGGTTTTGTGGATCACTTGATGATGCGGATCCTCTGGAAATAGTGCTTTATCCGTTTCCCACTACTCAAGGGAGGGGTTACCAATTCAAATGGAAAACAGTGTAGGTCACAGTTGCATTAGGGAGAAGTAGCTCTGCGTTCTAGTTTTTCTTTTTCCCAGAACGCGCAATTGAACAACCCTTGTTTGTTATGGCGGCCGAGGACAATTTGTCCATTGCTTGTACCCTTTCAGTCAGCGTGGTCAGAACGTCAATCCACGTTGTTATTGCGCACTTTTAGCTTGGGGAACACTGATCGAAACTTGCGACTACCCCTCGAGAGCATTTGGAAATACAAAGATTCGTCCCATCCCAGAAAATTTCGCACATCAATATAAAAGGTTAAGTTGATTTTGCAGTGTAAATGGGAAACGGCACCATCGCTGTTGATTTCCTCAAATCCTGGGGTTCGAAGAAGACATTACGTTGTTTCTCTGACCTTCTGAGGGGGGGAAGAACTAATTATGTTAGTTGTTCCCCCCGACCACTGGAAAGTTGATACGCCATGGCCAACCTGATATTTAATTCTGAATGCTTGAATCTGGGTACATTGGACAAAATTCGTCATTGAGCAACGAACGGATTAAAAATTGCGCCGAGATGAGATGGGCAGCAGGGGAACTAGGGGAAAGCCTCAAGGCCGACGGGGCATAGGAGTCGGGCAGCAGGGGAACTAGGGGAAAGCCTCAAGGCCGACGAGGCATAGGAGTCGGAGGCCTCCGCAGTTGCAAGGAGCCATGAGAGAAAGAGGAACCTTGAGCAGCCAAGGTCAGCGGTGCATGCACTCGCATCTCTCCCTTCACTCTCTCTCCTCATTCACTTGACAACACGCCCCGCCGATAAGGTGCCATGCCCCCCCTGCCCATACACACTGCGTGACTTGTTCTCCCACCGTCTTTCGTTCACTTCTGAGTGCGTCAGTTATCCGACTAGTTCTGCGTTTCAAGTATGCGTGAGAGTGACCTGCTTTTTCGACTGTTCAGATCACTGCACCCCTAGAAATATTCAGTGGAATGGGAGACTTGAGGCTGTTTCGAGAGTAAACAATTTTTCAATCTGTTGTTCAGACATTCAAAATTCTCAGGTAATTACTGAAAGATGCGTGGAAAATTCAGAAGTCCAGGAGCAGCCATCAGGCACTGTAACTTTCGAGAGAGTAAGGTTTGCCTTCTCACTCGAAATTTCTTAAATTTTGTTCCCCGTTATGATATACGCAGGATTATGAAGCAATAGTTACATGGAATCATCAAACTAAAAGGTTTTATCAATTTATATGTATGTAAGGAATGCGTCTGGGAATCCAACAGCTTGGCACAATATGCACAACCATTTATTTATTAATTCTATAAATTACTGTATCATGTATGACCTACCCTCACCCATGTGATTTCAACATGAAAATAAAAGGCATATAAACTATAAACAAGCAGACGTCCTTGGGTTTCCAGGCGCTAGTAGAACTTGCCTTCGTGCCGTAAACATCGTTATGTGATGGGAGTCGAAGGGTGACATGCAACAGATCCGTTTAACTTTAAATTGATTCGTTTTCATAATGAGCGTCTATGGGAATTAATTTATCTCGGTTAAACCGATTCCCATAGGGAACCTTTGTGAGATCAGATTAGTTTAGCTTAAACGGATGCCGTGCATGTCACCCGAAATCATCAGAATATATGCGGGGTGTTGCAAAACAATCTGCTTGAGCCGTACCGAGAGGGGTGCGAGCAGGGCGCCAATTGGCTGCCAAATCATTACAATATATTAACAAAATATTTAAAATTTTCAAGTAATCCTGAATTTAACTAAACTAAGCACAGAAATTAATACGCAATATATTGTTGGTGCAGGGGAAGACGGAGAGGTATGGAGGTGGGGGGGGGGGGGGGGG